GCGAGTTTTTTAGACGGTCCAATTGTTACGATTAGGAAGGTAAAACTATAGCAAATATGTTAAGTTAACTTTTGTAGATTTTGGTTACACATAATTATTTGGTGAATTGTCAGGTTTACATGTGTCAGTAACGAAAGGAGTGTTTGGTAGTCAAAGCTGTATTCAAGCCACTATTCCATTTGAACTCTTTTCATTCTTCTATTGGCCGTTGGGTGGGCCTGACGGTGATTGGAGAGTACGAGTGAAATATTCCAGTATCCTTTTAAAATAATTATTTGTGAATTGATTGCATCGTGCTATAGAAATTGATAAGTATGTGAGCGATAAGATTAATTCAGCTGTGTTCGGCTCAACAAATTTAAATTTATTTTTGGCATACGTTGTCTTAATGGTAATAACCAGAAAATGGCTGACATGTAGAGTACAGCGCTCTCCTCAAATCTGAAGATCGCTGGTTCGAATCCAAACGTGATCTTTTTGGATCCAGATGCCCTTTGTCATTGAACTAATGGATGCTTCTATCCAACAAAATGTCAACAGTACATTAAACACATTTAAATAAGGTAATTGTTTATTATTTATTTTTTAGTATCGCTATTAACATTTTGTTAGAAAATAAACATAGGCTACTAAAAGACCTCCAAACAAGCCGACCAAACCTCACCATTTAGCTGAACTGTCGAAAAACAAATTCAATTTATAGTACGACAGAAATTTTATGCAAGTTAATATATATGCCAGTTCTAACGCCAATAATATAATATAACATTTGAAGCACTGTCAACCTTATTTCTGAGCAATGTTTTCTAACATAAATGTTGATTTAAATTTAAATACCAGGCTATGAATTTGGAAAATCATCTCCATCTAGGTTAAGAAGTCGTCAAAAAGATAAACATCTGTCTGAAACACCCCACATCCGTAACTTGTATCATTGATTAGCCAACAATGTATGTGTACGTGTTTTTAAGAGAACCGGAGGCTGACAATCATGCGAGTCTACGTGAGCACTGAAATTTCGGACAATAAATCGAAAGCCTAAATCCTAAGTCCTAAATATTGTCATCACCATGACAACACCTTTTACTCTATATTCGGGAACAACGATTTAATTTGGCGACCCGGAGATCTGAGAAAATATGTATATACACATATTGTTGTTAGAACACAGAAAAAAACCTGATAAAACTCGACTCATTATCCAATCCCTCTCTAGAACCCCAAAGAAGTCGGACATGTCAAATCGGGCTGACAATGTGTCTTGCGCCAACTGACCCCAGTCAGGTAGTCGGGTATTCCTGAATTGCGCCAACTACTCCAGGGAGCCACCCGATACGTTATTTAAGTAATCCAAGAGGCGGCCGTCTTTGACTTTATAATTAAGTAGGTTAGGCTAGGTTTAGGTTATGTTAGGATGACACATAAACAAGGACATTCCTTCTGCTGGCAACTCACCCCTACCTGGCTTGGGCTTGGCGCAACTAAGGAACATTTTTTGAACTATTTGAGGGCGTCGTGCAATTAAGGAACTCTTTGGTGCCATTAATGCACGACTGTCAAATCAGTTTGAAAGTGTTGACCCAAGTAACTTCCCATTTCCCTCAAGATATCGATGACGGGCTGCACGCCAACACAGTTACAGTCTAGATCAAACATTATCGGATATCGAACATGATATAATGTCTGGTAGGTCAGTAGGACAACCTCACAATACACAATACACCGACAATACCATGGCTTCCATAATTGTTCACACTCTTTTAAACTAACAATGCATATTAATGATTCGCAGTCTTTATTTAACACTGAAACCATTGTCAGTGCCTTGTAAGTTGAATCTAATGTTTGGTTGGCAAAGAATAGCCCACGTGAAATAAGCACGAAAGAATACGACATAACAACATATCTATTTGAAACGCGTCAAAACTAGCAGTACGGAATACTGTATACCGTTTCAGTCGAAACAAACGCTAATAGGTTGTAAAAACTTGGGGAAATGTCTTGATATTTTATGCAACTAGGCATGATTGTGTGTATTACAACAGAGTTAATGTTTTCATCATTTGTCAAATTAAGTAAAAAATTGATCGAAGACCTGATAAAATAAATAAACCACAAAAATACGAGTTCGCAATTGAGAAAACGACTGAGTTCCTTATAACGAATTTCTAATAAGCTATTACCGTAGGTCTCATGGTAAGTTAAGACCTGGACCTGGGACCGATTTACTTGTTCATTTTGTTCTGTATCAGCACAGAAAACATACTAATATATAGCTATGTTAACTGGTAGTATGTTAACTTACCTAAAAGGTTATAGTAGTATGTTTTCTGTGGTATCAGTTACACCAGTTTCCCCGATAGGGCTTTATAACTAAGCCGTTGTTTCATGTAAACTATAAAATAAAAATAAATAGCTATGTCAGAGCCTTTGAAATCGAACATTAGAAACAATTAATTTGAAAGATTAGTCTTCATAGGTATAACCGTTTTGTTCGAAGATTATTTTTACTGAGTATAATTCTTGTAAATCATTCGGATTTGACAATATTACCATACAAGCATATTACCATACAAGCACCATTGAATTATTTCAATAGGGCATGAATCGATCAACTTAAATACATGGAACAGTTTTAATCAATTTTGACACAAAACATACCACTATAAAACCTAATGTCTCAGAAAGTTAATTTCACCGTCTAATAGTTGTCTGTTTGATGTAATTCAGATTTGGGTTTCAAATTAAATGAGTAAAATATATAATTTAGCTTCAAAATAACTCCATGATACAGTATTCATTATTTTATTTATATCACAGCAATTTCATTGGGTATTATTTATTATACCTCGTGTTTCTGTTGTAGTAAAATAGCCGACAATCACATAGGCATAACAGTCTAGTCTCATCGTTGACATTATCATATGAATAGTTACTTTAACAAATGTATAAAGGTTTTGACAAGCGTTTGTATCAGTCAACCGAGGGCATAGTTTGGTCAAACACCGCTAGAGACACCAGTTGTGTTTAGCTCGCAACTTGATTTGGTGCTGATCGCAAAATTCAGTGCTGATTGAAATTTGTCTGTTATGGTCCTTATAACTCTTAACAATATAGTGCAACCCCCCCCCCCTCTCCTGTAAAAAATACGATAGGAGAATGTATGTGTCAGATTGCTGATACTGTTTATTATTTAACATGCCAGTCGGTCTTGCTAAGTTAATTTTTAGTTCAATTACGGATTAACACTACAGAAGCTGGAAGCTGTAGTTGTTGCAACACTACTACACTACAACACCTCTAGTTAGCAATCTAGAGGAGATTCATGTCCACAGTAGATTACCTTCGGACGGTCGCTCGGTCCATTCACGCACTGACAGTTGCCTTGTCACCCGTCCGTCCGTAACCGTTCGAACGTCGTTGACACTATTCTGACGAATGGTTCATGGATACATATCATGAAGTATCTACCGGTCACGGAAAGTTACATATTTTATGTTTGAAGTCAATGAATATTAGGTTTCATTGAAGTTCACAGAAGGTTTGCCAAGTTTCGAAGTGTGTGGCTCTTGTCTTGTTTTAAATGTTTTTTATCGTATTTCGTAGTTTGACGACGCCAAATCTGGTAAATATACATATCTGAGGATGACATTTTGATGCCGAAACGGCCGTAATATACGTAAACTTCAGAGCTGTGACGAGGTAATTGTATTATTATTATGGTCATCAATTCAGCTCAGGGGCTAAATCATGTCTATTGAAACAATCATAGCTTATTGTCATCCCTTATGTCCAATAACGGAAACTCGCAAACATACAGTTGTTACACTTTTCGCCGTCTGACGAAACCTGAACTTCAGTATGAATTCATGAGATGGGCACTTAACTATGAGCTTCTGAATCTATTTATTAATCGCGGTATGAAAATTAGTATGTACCACAAACTTTGGTATGAAATCTGGTACAAACTTCAAAATATACATCGCCATGAACTTCAGTGTGAATTCGGAATGAACCTCCTCATGGCCTTTGAGTTGAACTTGGCTATGCTTTTCGTTATGAACTGTAGTATGAATTTAGGCATGGCCTTCCGTTTGATCTTCGAGACCCGTTTTTGTTACGCTCGATCGTTTTTGTTCTTCTGTAGTTTGTTTGTAATTGCCCCGACTCTCGTGGGTTACTAGAGACGGCACGACGCACGTCTCTACTGAGCAAAATACAGTAAAAACAGAATCACCTCGGCTTTGTCTGATGTCCGATGCATGCCAATGGCGTTTAATTGGCATCGCGCCGATTCTAGGCCTTGATTCTTGGCGTATGCACTTTGGCGACCAATAATTGAAGGCAACTTCACTTAGGGATTCCCTACATTTCATTTAAAAATTAGCTATCTGCTTTAATGCTGGAGTTTATTTTAAGTCCTATTGTTAATGTTAATGTTTTCAAGTAGTAGGCCTACTGTAGTTCAAAGATTATAAATAATGCATATTTGCACAAGTGCTATAACATTATGTAAGTTTTTTTATTCTCTTGAAATTTTTTGAATCACTACATGTACGGTAAACGCTGTAAGCTATAACTTCGGAATTAAATCCAACTTTTAGGCTTTAGTTCCAACTTTTCGAGGTACAGTACACGAGCTTAAGTAGAAGAGCTTAATTATTTTAACATTTGTTGCTTTTAAGGTCTAAGATGGTTAAAGTTTACATAGTTAGAGGGTTCATTTAATCTTCGGTTGCTTAAATTGATATCATTTTCACTAGCTTTTCAGTAGGCTTATGTTCTATTCTAGACTACTTTTTACAAGGTACTAATAAATTTTGTGCCGTAATTGTTTGTTGGCTTGTAAAAATTTTTCCTGATAGTAGTCTAATTTGCATGTAATTCAGTAAAGACATTTCTGTATGCCAAGTTGGATAAACAAATGTCCTTTTTGAACCATCAAGTTCCTAATACCAAAATAGAATATATCTATAACTCTGTGTCTTCATTTGTTATAGTGTAAACAAGATCAGAAATTTGTCAGACTTCCAGCATTGCAAGAAGCTGAAGCATCTGTTTGTTCGCAAGAATGACATCAGAGAACTGAACCAGGTCTGCTACCTGAGAGAACTGCCAGATTTGTCTACTCTTTGGCTGGCAGAGAACCCGTGTGCCTCTAGTCCAGGGTGAGTTGATACAATGTCACATCCTAGGTAGCAAACCTTAGAGAATCTTGAGAGTAAAACGAGGGGATCAGTTTGTAATCTTCAATGACTATGACTTAAGAAAAAAATAAACGCTACTTGCTAAAAAGTTATTCTTGATGTATATTTAAGCTATATGTACTCTAACACATCAAATTTGCCATCATGATTCATCAAATCTTTTCATCCTAGATGATTTTTCAAACATGTTCATTTGATGGAAGAGGTAATCATTGGCTACAATAAAAAAATATATATTGGTTGGACTGGGACAGTGGTGTCGTTGTATATTGGTTGGACTGGGACGGTGGTGTCGTCCTTTAATCCAGCTACTAGGAGGTCACGAATTGTGGATATTTATAGGCATGCACTAAGGATGTGATACTCCCTGGTGTGGATTACGTCCGCACTAGTGAGTACTACGACTATCCGCAGTACTATCCTGATAATTAGACCAATTTGTTAACCACAAGGCAAAAATGTGGTTCGGATTCCACTATAAACTGTAGGTCCTTTATATGCCATTGGCTGTATGGGCTATTAATTAACAGCTGTGTCTAAGGAATATGTCGGCCTTAGTCACTAAAAAGACTACAAGATCGCACCACTCATCCTACACTCATCCCCAATCATACTTGGCTTAAAATACCTACATTCGTATGGTCGCCATTTCAAAGTAAACTATTAAAGTATGTCGTTATCTTTTGACATAGAAAACAGCTTTTATAGTTTCTATGTACATTGTTTTTGTGGAGATAGCACCCACTGAACTAAAACATTCGGCCTTATCAGTAATTTCAAAATGCTCCTGATTCTTTCAAGCAGGCTATTACATTCCTGGGCTTGTCACTGAGCTGTATCTAGAATGGTTTAATGTTTGTAAACTCTGCAACCGTTTAATTTTATTTCCTAAATATCCCATACTTCAGACGGCTGTAGAATATTCCAGAAATGTTATAAGTGCTTAGCAACATTGGTTGACCCTCTGTTTTACAGCTGTTATCTGACATTGTTAATGTAAAGGCTTTATAGCAGGAATAAGTGCTAATGAAAATAAACTTAACAGGTACAGATTGGCTGTTATCAAGGCTCTCCCCCGTCTTGAGAAACTAGATGACGTTGTAGTGAGTGTGGAAGAGAGAACGGAAGCTCAGAGGTATGGAACTTCCCTTCTACACCCAGACAATGATGAGCCCCAAGTGAGTAGAGGTAGCTTATTACAAACTTTGCCAGTGTTAGGTATTGTATATATAGCATTTTTTAAATCCTCACCAAGTCATGTCACAGTTTTATGCTCCATGATTTAATTCAAAATAGTTCAGAATTTAACTACGACTGAGAGTTATTATAGTAATTTGTTATTGACCATTCTTTGTTATTTAACTATCGTTAGCTGTTAAGTTATAGCTATAGCTTGTTTTGTATAATTTTTTTTCAATTCACTTTTTCATTCACATTAGTTATGTAGATCAGTTTGAAATATAGGCTTACTTTGTATATCAGTAGTTTGTAGTACTTATTGTATACTTTTCAAAACTTAAGTGTGTGGTAACTTGCATGGCTTAGAGGGCCTTAACTAAAGAATTGTATATTTTTACCATACAGGATTATAAATTCACAATCATTTTTAAGTAGAGATGGGAAGTTCAGACCACCTTACTGATCCGGATCAGTCGGTCTCGTTCACTGTTGGGACCCGTTTGAAGTGATCTGTTCAATCCACCCAGTCTGGTAAACCAAAAGCAGTGTTTAATTTCGTTCGTTACTCGTTTGTCGAAAGTCGATCTACCAGGTTAGTTTAAATGTCGGATCAAGGATTTTTGGATCGTTCTGACTGATTCCGATATTGAACTATTAAATAGTTACTAGTGTTCCTGTTGCTCGAATTCGAGCTATTGCTAAGTATTACAGGCGTTATTTTAAAACGAATAACAGTCATAATTTCTGATGAATTTAAAAGATTTGACTCAAAGATTATGGAAATACTCATGATGTACATAACAGATCGATATAATCACAATTTCTTGTAAATATCTTATCTTTTTTTCAAAAGCTGATCTTGTTTTTTAGTGTTTTCTATAAATAGCCTTACTCATAGCCGCATTAGGTTGTCCATAATAACGATTATAAATAAAAAAATAACATTATTTCTATTTCTTCTCCTTGGTGGTGTTCTATGACTTTCCTAGGTTTCCATAGTTTGCAAATCGGCTCTTGCAAACCCAAATTCAAATAGTAAATATTTCATTCAACCAAATCAGTAAATGTTGGTAGCAAACTGTTAAATTAGCAAACTTATTGACTGTTTACAATTAACATAATATGTTCTTCTTCTCACTTTTAATTTCTGGCAAAAGCTGGAGTTTCATAAACATTTTTGTTTCCCATGTTAATCTTATGGAGGAATACAAAACTTTAAAGGGCCTCAGGGCCTCACTCTCTAATTATTTCCCTTAAAAGAAAGTTTCCTGCACAACTTCACGTTACGCTCTTTCCAATGACACCAAAAACATGTCAATCGGTTCAGTAGTTTCGGAGGAGTAATTGTCACAAAGAACCTGCTTAAACGTATTAATTAAGTATAGATGAAAACGATAACAATAATACATTACCGAAATTACACAATGTGTAGTGTTAATTTATACTTAATTCCTTTTTCGGCACAGAACTTAAAATTTACAATTCATATTATCTTTTACTTTTAATTCTCTAAAAATTTAATTTGTACATAACCTTACTTTTACAAACCTTGACATGCGACTATACTATACTGGTTGGATCGATTATTGAAGGTTTAAATGTAATCACAACACGAATACTATCGGGTCAGTCAGTTCTTCACTCCAGTCCACTTCCAGTTTCACTCCAGTTCCAGACCACTACCATTGGGACCAATCACCTCAGTCTTTTCGGTCGGTCATGGAACGAAACCTTGTCTTGGAGTACGCGAACGGGTCTTTTCGGTCGATGTGATCCAGGTCACTTGTACACTTCGATGTCCCGTTTAAATCGAACGGGTCCTGACCGAATGACCTACCTCTAGTTTTTAGTAATAATACACTTCACAAACTAAAAAAATGGGTTTATACACCAGCAGCAGTCAAGCCGAGGCAAGGTATTTTTTACTATAGTGATCCTGAGAGACAGAGAAATCATAGGCACTTACTGAGCACCACAATCTGATAGAGACGAGGCGAGACGGAGCAGAAATCGGTTTTGTCAAAAAGCAAAGTAGTTAGAAACCTCGTTGCTGACCATTAGACTGTCTGCTCATGGGCGAATTCACTTTCACTATTTTGTACTTAGCTGGAATAATTTCAAAATTAAAAACTTACGGTTTTGTTATGAAACACAAACAAACACTTTTTGAATTAAATGTGTCAAGTATGCAGCAAAAGTGTCTATATCTTATTTTAAAACACACAATTAGCTTGTACCCAATATTAACAAAGAGAGGCCCCGTTTCAAACCCCATACTAACAGTCTCTCCTTAATAGCTCTCCTCCAAATTGTATTTCTCTTTGCAATCTTACATCTTACGTGTTCAAAATAGTTAAATTTTGAAGGTGACATCCGGAAGTAATTAATAAATGTTGACCATCTGACCGCAACTATTTAACTTCTTATGTCAGTCACCTCATGTTGCAAAACTACACTCGCAACTATTGATATAAAATACAGTTTTTATCAATGAAAATCATGTTGAAACTTTGGTGCCTTGACTTGCCTTGCCTTCTGCGAGAAGGCTAGTCTAGCAACTTCCCTCACGGCGTCTTGCCTCGACTAAACTGTTGTAGTGTGTGGCCAGCCCTAGTAAATTGGAAATAGTGTAATTTTTAAATAACGTTAGGACAATTAATTATTAGTAGTCTTTTTCAAGTAAAACTAAGTATAAGAAAGTGGATACATACTAAAATTAAACAAATTATTTATTAAAATCTTAACACTAATTTTCAACACTGCTTTGACTAATATTTATTTTACAGTAAGACGAAAACAGTCTAATTGTAATGAAAATGTTATCTTAAGAAACTAACAAAATTGATTTCTGTTTAACTATAAATTCTCGAATTGTTATAGCCTAGTTCATTTAATCAATTAAGAGAATGGGCAGGATAAGCAGGCTTACCTTAGAAAAATTATGCACCCAACTTCACAAAAGTAACACAAATGAAAACAAAGGAAAACAGAATATTTCAAGATAGCCCCTTTTTCAACATTGAGAGTCATAATATTCTTTAAGTCCGAAGCCTGCTTATCCAGTCCTTCTCCTTAATTCTTAGGCAATAAGCCCTTTCCAATCAATTGTGAACTACTGTATTAATAAAATATTAATCCCTAACTAGTGTTTATTAAAGAACATACGGTTTGTCTCTGCTCTTTAATTTAATAACCTGCATGTGACGATGTTTAATTAACTTATATTTTGAGAGTATAATATGATGATGGCAATCATAGGGTAAGCAAGTATTTGGATTTTGACTCGATAGAAAGATTTTCTTGTCTTACCATATTTTTCATAGCGGAAACGAATAGGTCTGAAATGAATTATATTAGTGGTGGGGTGGGAAGATCTTCTGGATTTAGTTAATAGTACCGGTATTTATTTTTAAAGGGGACTACTGTGGTCGCTGATGAAAAGATTAATTTGTAGTAGTTTTTACCACTACTGGGTGGTCAATTCTGGGCAGTAAAAGTATCTGAGTTGCTATTCTCAACCCTCAACCAGTTACACATTATTTTGTGTGTCTGTAAGTTAACATTGATCTTTTTTAATGATGTGTGATAAATAGCAGTCAAACTTGAAATTCTGTGATTCTTTTCCAAAGTCACTTTGTGATATTTATAAAATTGACACTTTTACAATGCTTTGTTTCGGCATGTTTTAATTGACAACCCAAAGATTTCATGAGGTGATTAAAGATGCAGTACCTTGGAATCTTATGTTTACTTATCAAATATCATTTTTTTAACTACTATATCAACTTATAAACACAAACATGCCACAGACACTGCGCTTGTAGCACTCTGCTCTTTTGGTTGGCAACAACTGTTATTTATCTCCATTCTATCAACCCCTAAAAATGTGTTAAAGTGGATTTTCTTAGTTTTTCCTCTATTTTATTGGTTTTTGCTGTCTCTAGACATAGACAAAAAGAATTAAATATAGACCGTCAGCTGTGTTGCGGTTACCATAGGTTCTGGTGCACAACGCTGGGAGCGCCATGTTGTTACGGCCTACGCGCTACATAACTATGCGGCGCTCCCAGCGGTGTGCACCAGAACCTATGGTAACCATGGTAACCACTGCACAGCTGACAGTCTATATTTAATTCGTTTTGTCTTTGTTCTAGTCAGTAGACATAACATGTTTCGACGACTAGCAGTTCTTTTTTCTTTGTTTAGTACCAGATTTGGGTTTTCAACCACTGACACCAACAGAAAAAAAACTAGAATAAAGACTAGGGAGTTGGAGTATGCCATCTATTTGCCACAACTACAAGGAAGGTTAAAAAAATCAAAGACATTTTCAAAGTCTTAAGAAATTTGGAATCTTTTTGAATTCCAACCGCAGCCAATACCAGATACTTTCCTGTGGGGTCTGGTGTTGGAGCCTACAGCCAGTCGAAGGGGAGTTGCTCAATATCATCACAAAAGTTTACATTTTCCAGGAACTATTTAGTTTACTAACTGCAGCCGAACAAATTTCTCACTGGTTACCACGGTAGGCGTCTCTGGTAAGAAATTCAGAGAACTTTGTCACCCTAACACCCAATAATAATAGGTTAAATATGTATTTATTTTAACACAATCACAGTTGAAACAGACTGTAGCGAATGATTATAACCTGCAATCATTCAAAATCCAAATTTCTTGCTTACAAAAGGTAGGTTTGTTTTAATATTTGTCGTTCTGTTCCTGCATGTAACTAATTTGCACCTCTGTTTGTGGAACGTTCTGAACTAAAGGAGAATGATGAAGAAAATGATACGCCTGCCTACCAAGATGAAGTAAGTCTCATAACAACACTAATCTTTACTTTCCTTATCAACTATAGATAACTACCTTGCAATAAAATAGATATTTTGTCATTGTACATGTTGTTCCTACTTTTATGTGGAAATAGATTTCAAAGAGAATGAAGATTTGAGAAAACATCAATAAAGTTTGCTTTTAATTATTTGATACATGTCAACTCATTTAGTGTAATAAAAGTTACAATTGGTCGCCAAGGAATATACTTTCTCCTACCAATAACATTTCAAATAAAAGACAAACCCTTTGTCAGTTCGTACTTTGAATCCTAGATCAAAATCGGCTACAGCTGGTCAATAAATGGAATGCCCAGCTAAGTATGGATAGTCAATTGATTCCAATTGACATTTAAAAGTTTAGAGTTGTTGAAAGTTTAAGTTGTTAATATTGTTGTAAAATGCGACAGCATAAATTATAGACAAATGTGTATGTATTCATCACAATAAAAAAATATCAGAGTTGAATTTCAATGAGTTGTAAATATGGAAAAGTAGTATTTAAATTTTGCAATATTTACTGATAAAACAACTTACAACCAATATTTTGACCTTCAGTTATATCGTACCAATTATTTAATCAATATTTAAATAAAATTAATTGAAGTTTACAGATTATCACCATTTAAATACAAGTTCAGAGTTTTTAAAAGTTTAAATTGTTAATATTGTTGTAAAATGTGACAGCATATAGACAAATGTGTATGTATTCATGACATAAAAAAAAATCAGAGTTGAATTTCAATGAGTTTTAAAACAACTTACAACCAATATTTTGACTTTCAGTTAAATCGTACCAATTATTTAATCAATAATTTAAATTTGAGTAAAGTTTACTAATTATCACAATTTTGGTGAAGTCACTTTTTTAATAACTCATTTAAAACTAAGCTAAAGTAAATGTTTGATTTGAACCGATGAATTATTCAAGGTGTCAAATTCATTTCTGAGAAACCCTTAGTAATTACCGTACCTAATTGGTAAAGAATCTAACTAGAAAAAAATAATTACCCCACACAATAAAATCTTATGGAAGAGGTATCAATTCTGTTTGAGACATGTGTGAGTCCTGTGTTGGCCACATAATTTTACCTTATTGCTTGTCTTCACCACTATATGAGGATTTTCCCACAGGACACAGATGAGCAGTACATCACCAGATCAAATCACTACCCACCGACTGAAAACACCCGACCTTACCAGAGAAACGATTACAGTCCTGAACTATCCTCTCCTGTGTATGTATCATTGAATTTTCTTGTTAGCGGATTTCTCCTTTAGGGAACAAGCAGTTACTGTAGGTGCAGTGGTATAGTAATATTTTTTTCAGTGTGGGAACGCTCGCCATCAACTTGGAAACTGGAGTTTAATTTGAATATACTACATGGTTTTTGGAAAAAACGTGGGAACGCTGTTCTCACACGTTCTTGCCCCACTATACCACTGCTTAGGTGGCATCGTAAGACCAAAACCTAGGTTTTATTTCCTTTTTCGTTTTGGCGTCAGGCCAAAACACTATTCGTTCAAATTTGTATCTATATTGTATAATTGTAATAACACAAGTTAAATTGAAATTCATACGATTACAATGAAATTTGGTATAGAGGTGTAAATCTACATTTATTTGAACGAGTTTGCAACCCAGCATTATCAGGCTATGGAAACAGGGTTTTATAGGGTAAAAATAGTTTTTTTCTAATTTTTGACCTTAAAAATATAAAATTTTACAATTCATTTTCAAACCAAGTTTCGAGCTTAAAAAAACAAATAGCAGAACATTTAAGTGTCTTTTACTCAAATGGAAGTCCAAATGGTTGTGGAGAAAATTCAAAAAACTGTTAATCAAAATTCAAAATTGGCTGTTTTAGTTTGCTTGTTTATAGATATATAGATTAAAATTTTCTAATTTATTTTAAAGGCTGTTATTTTAATCTATTTCTAAGCAAATAAAATGTAACTAAAAAAACTATTAGCTTCATCATAACAGCCAATCTACTTAAAAAAGGCAATAATAAAATGTTTAAGGAAATATTTTAGTAAAAAATCCAAATCAACAAATGTAAATTTGCTTAGTCAACAGGTTGTTGTGAAGGGGGTATTTTTCATTACTTTTCTATTGCTTTACCCTTTAAGCCACTTGGATTATCATTGATTTAATTAGGCTATGGCTATTTGTATCCTGTTTTCCCTTATAACATTTTTGAAGCTCAAATACACCTTTATGACTTAACTTCCAATGATCCTGACCCAAGTTTTTTACCCTTAACACATGTTTACTATACTTGGAGTTAGGGATGGACGGGATTGAATTTTTAGTTCGGGACGGGACGGGACGGGATTTTTATTTCCTTCCCGATTTTCGGGACGGGACGAGACGGGATTTTTTTCTGTGCATAAAAAGAAAGTACTGTATTGCAGTTACCAAAAAAGACATACGAAATCAATTTTTACCATTTGTGGCACTGATCTATAAAAACAAAAAAATGGGTAACAATTTACAGGTACCTATAGAAATTTGTGACTCGCGGGTCACGGGGTGATCGTCTGTATGACTCACGGTCACGGCGCGATCGTCGTCATGACTCGCGGTCACGGCGCGATCGTCAGTATGACTCCGCGGTCACGGGGTTATCGTCGGTATGACTCCACGGTCACGGCGCGATCGTCGGTATGACTCCGCGGTCACGGGGTTATCGTCGGTATGACTCCACGGTCACGGCACGATCGTCGTCATGACTCGCGGTCACGACGCGATCGTCGGTATGACTCGCGGTCACGGCGCGATCGTCGGTATGACTCCGCGGTCACGGGGATATCGTCGGTATGACTCCACGGTCACGGCGCGATCGTCGGTATGACTCGTGGTCACGGCGCGATCGTCGTCATGACTCGCGGTCACGGCGCAATCGTCGGTATGACTCGCGGTCACGGCGCGATCGTCGGTATGACTTGCGGTCACGGCGCGATCGTCGGTATGACTCCGCGGTCACGGGGTTATCGTCGGTAGGACTCCGCGGTCACGTCGTGATCGTCGGTATGACTCACCATCACGGCATGATCGTCAGTATGACTCCGCGGTAACGGCGCGATCGTCGGTAGGACTCCGCGGTCACGGCGCGATTGTCGGTATGACTCGTGGTCACAGCGCGATCGTCGGTAGGACTTCGCGGTCACGGCGTGATCGTCGTTATGACTCCGCGGTCACGGCGTGACTGTCGGTATGACTCCGCGGTCACAGCCCGATCGTCGATATGACTCGCGGTCACGGTGTGATCGTCGGTCCAATAATCGCGGCCACGGCGCGATCGTCGTTATGACTCCGCGGTCACGGCGTAATCGTCGAAATGACTTCGTCTCCTGCGTTCGCGGACCTATCGCTCGCAATAACGGCGTTATCGGCACTCGCGAAGCGGAAAAATCGCCGACGATCGGACCAAATCCCGTCCCGAAAAATTTCCGAGTCAAATGTAATCCCGTCCCGATAATCGGGAATATTTTTTTCCCGAAAAATTCCCGAAATTTCGGGACCCGTCCATCCCAACTTGGAGTATACCATTGCAAAGGTACTATGAACATGCGATTGTCTAGTTATATTTGTTATATAACTGTTACAATTTATTCATCGTGTATGTGTAGTAAATGTTATTAATCTATTATCTAAAGGGTGTCCCAGTAAGAACGCCTAATTTGAGGAGCGTCTTATCCTTATCTGTATTTCAATAGGAATTCCCAAATTATCAGCGATGTTACCCGTATTAGGTCCCATTTGTAGTCATGAATCGCTACACGACGTAACAACGCGTGGTCATAGTTAAAGTGCACTACAAGTACGGAAGCTGCGCACTATTTACGGCCGGGACAATGCACCAAATGATCCATCTGTCCGAAGATTGGTTTATAAGTTCGAATAAATTGCTCAGTTCTATACTGGGGATATTTAAAGTCGCTTGTTTTCGCCAATAACCCGCAAACAATCCAAGACTTGAAGGAGGAAATGATTCGTGCCATTAATGAAATTCAACAGGAAGTGCGTGAAAAAGTGATGGAAAACTTTGTCAAGAGATGTCGAGCTTGTCAGTATTCAGCAGGTTGGCACTTACAAGACATAATACTCAATTACTAATCGGAGATATTATGCTTTAAGATTCATGTTTCATATTGTAAATTTAGCGAGAAAATATATGGTTTGTTAACATTTCAAATCCGGCGTTCTTATTGGGACACCCTTTATTAATATATTTTAAATTAACTTATTCCGATCAACATGTTGCAGCCATTCCAGCTACATGCGGAATGCAGGCAATACCTACAGCCAGGAAGAGGTAATTTTTGTCTTAATTTATTATAGGTATGCTTATTTTTAGTAATGTGTCAACAATGCTAAAATTGTCTTGGCTTAAACTTGTCAATCATTTCACACCAGCTTTCTTGTTTAATTGGGTTATGAGATGTACCGAATTATCTATCTTTATTTGAATTTATGGCAAACATTTTGATATTTATATTCATCTGGACATTTAGGAAGTGGATTCTTTTCATACATTGTTGGGTCATACAAGTTTAGTCTCTAATATAATGAATTTTTTACTGTTAAATATTTTGAAATATTTATATCTCAGAATTTAATTTAATAACTATCATAAACATAGAGAATATTATAGGGTTGTAAGCAATAAGCATAGCTAATTAATCAGATACAATAAAACACATACAAAATATTTCTAGAAAATGTACAGTAAGTATAAAGTATAACCAGTATAGACGAATTTGTTTTGTATCGTTTATTTAATTAATTACCTTACAATAATATTTTGTGATTAATTTTATAATGTTTATTAAATTAAAATAGATAGGCAGTAGTAGCAGCAGGTGGAAAATTTATCTTGGTCCCCTGCAATATTTATTGTAGTCCAAACAGTGTATTAAATTCATCATAAACATGCCCATGACACTGCTCCAAAGATTACTATTCTTAGTGGTAATTGTTGATAATTTGCAATTTGGTCTCTTTCATTTAATTAACTTTTCATTTCCAGTTTCTATATACATAAATGTGCATATACTCTTATGTTCCGACTAGTGATGTGTCGGTTCCAAAAGACGATTCTCGGTTCCAACTGTTCTTGGGAAAATAACCGGGAACCGAGAACCGTTTTATGCTAAGAACCGGACCAGAATCGAACCGTTAAGATTGGAACCATCACTAGTTCCGACTATTGCCAAGGCCAAGTTTGGGCTTCGACTTGGCCTCTCTTTCTTCTCCTATCCCTCTACAATCCCTCAATCTTTATTTATCTACAATCCTCTTCATCTTATTCAACTCAACCATCAACTTCATTCTCGGATTATCCTCTTAGTATCTTTCTCTTTATCACAATTAACTATATTTTCCTACAGTTACCTGACAAAGCGGGCTTTCTTGTACTGATTATAGCTCGCAAAGTAGCTAACTGCTGCATTTACTTACTTTTGCCACACTCATTTTTTAGCCGCACTCCAGTATTCCAAACAAACAACAAAAAACAGTGTGCTTTTATGAGGCACGTAATACGTGTACGCTTGAAAATAAGTTGGCAAAACTTAAAGATACTACGACTTTAATCAGCTGGTGCAGTGTTTCCGATTCGTTCAATGCTTGGTTTGAAAGACTAATCATTTCTATGCTTTATAGTAACTGTAGGAAAAATATAATGTGTAGCACGCGCGCTAAATGCCACTTGGCACACTAGTTACACAGATAACGAATTCATTTAAATTCTTTCTTCTGCCACTCTTCTCACATGTCCAAACCATTTTTGTTTAACTTTTCTTATCTCCTTCTAAAAAAACAAACTGCTATCCACTACCCCTCTTATCATCTGTTCATTCTTAACCCCATCCTATCTTGATGAACTGGTTACAGCCCAAAAATTTTTTTCTCCAGCTCATATTTAGCTCCATTCTCTTTCTTCTACATTCCATACTTTTGTCCCATAAGTAACTATTGACCTATGATATGGCATATAAATTGCTACTATTGCCTAGCCGCTAGGTACTGTATGATGGACGTTATTGTGTACAAGATTTCCATAGTTAATTTCTTACGTTATGTTACTTCCCTTATGATACTATTCTGGGAGGCAAGGGTTTTAACAATTGCTTTTTTTACTTTAACGTTCCATTGTATACCTGAGACAAAATATCCCAAGTTACAACACCACAGTATTGAAGTGAAATAAATAGAATCAGTTGATTCAAACAAATAGATAATACACTTTGTAGTTCCTCCTTTCTACTCCTTACCTTAAGAATTTAAATGTTTTCCGTAGCTCAAAATACTTCATGTAAAGATTAATTGTTTATTTATAGTGGTTATATTATTGCATTCAGTTTTCAGTTATTAAAGTTTAAGTTCAAAGTTCAAGTCAAAGTTTCAAATTTCATTAGAAGTTTATGGTTTCTTTGTCTTGACTTTTTTCTTTGATCTCAAGTCCACTTTTCTAACTTAAAAGATAATATTACAATATTATTTTCTTGTTTGTTAGTTTGAGTTACTTTTGTGGATTTTTCAATTAAATATTTTTTTCTATCCACCCCCTTTTTGAATGTGTAACCTACAATGATTATTGGTCTTAACCCTCTCTAAGGGTCCACAGTTATATTCTTCAGTCTTCACAGGACCCAAATCTACATTTTGTTTAGACTAATTCACAATAATTTACAATAGTGTTTGATGTAACCTGAGTTTAACGTTTGATTTTGTTTGTTCAGAGTGTCCAGAGCAATGGTTACGAACCAAGTGGTTACGATCATATAGAAGATGATTATAGACCACACTCTTCAGCCATTCACATCAGCACACCAAACCATCACAGAATTAGCAAGGTATTTAATTACTCACACCTTTAAGGCGTCTCCATCTCAATTGTAATATAATGTTCGCACAAACTGATTTCATCCGGCCTTTGCAGAAAGCTAGAAAAAGCTATAGGAAAAATATTATTTGATAGTATACACCGATGGCCCACCTCATCTAAAAAAATGTATCATGTGGACTTGACTAAGGCCTACCATACACGTTCCGTCCCGGCCTCAAGGCTTGGCCTTAAGGCCAGAACTGCACAGTTTGGCCGGAGTCGTCTTCTCCCCACACACACACTGTATTTTCAAACCGACCTGTGCATAGGAGTCGCACTGTAGCTTTGTTCAAATGCGTACTTTATAAGATCGACAGTTCAACTATTGAAGATCTTGTGGCAATGGCAGTGATACTGTATGTTATAGCAAATGGGAAAAAGGGAAAGAGAAACATGTGGGTGTGGTCATTTCTGTGGGCGTGTGTTTTCAAGAGTTTGGAAGGACTATTTACAAATGGGCAAACTATCTTAGCTGGAGTTATAAATAATAGTTACATTTTTTATTGCCAAGCAAGACACGGTTTTGAGGTAATGCGTGAAGCCTCACGAACAGTTAACAGCAACACATTGCGATACTTTGATACAGGCAAGAAACTGGAAGATCTGAAGTTCACAACTAGAATTGGTGTCTTGGACTGTGAGATTCCACATACACGTACAGTTCTGCCGGCCAAGCTACCTTGAGGCCGGGCCTCACGTTTTTCTCATTCGGCCGTCCAGCCGACAATCCACCTCAAGGAATCTCCACACCGTCAGTTCTCCCTTCAGTCCAGGACTGTACAGACCAAACCTTGAGGCCAAACTGAACGTGTATGTATGGTAGGCCTAAACAGGTTGCAGACTCTCACTCTAGTTTATATGTTACCAGACATATTATCTTAATTTGAAAACCTGCCATAACTGTCAAAATAAAATACTAAATTTTTTTTTCCATAAGGTATATTTATATCGTTCATAAAAGCGAAAGCGACGTCACATTTTTTTACACTACCTCTTCAGTCATGTAGTAACTTGCTTGTCGATTTATGTGAATTCTCATGCATTGCGATGGCTGGTGTCTTTAATGGAACTGCTTCATCGTGTATTTCTGTCTTAATAATGTTTATAATGTAAAGATCTGTAAACTATCACATTCTTAAATTTCTTGAAGGTGTAAATTGTAATGCAAAACACATGTTTTTGTCATAACTAGTTATAGTAGTTTACGCAACGATCGCGTAAAGATGGTGTCGGTAAGACTTAACGCGAGTTGCGTACACTACTTTACCTACAACTGTTTTTAATTACTAAATAATCATTACTCATAACTTCCACAGACCGCCACTGACAGAGATGCAATGATTCATTGTACCAATCACTAAATGCACCAATCCTTAACAATTAAATTCGTTAAAAGCTGATTAGTTGAAGTTTGAATTATTACAATTTTACTTCTTTTCTCTCAATCCTTGTACCTCATTGGTCCGTTACCCGTGTTGTTAAGTAAAACTATGCTGTTATGTAAGTAATCAATGCTTTTATGTGAATCTTTTCAATTCTAAGAACTCAACTGAAACGGCTACTTCAAAAAACTGTCGTAGGTAAGCACTTTTAACAGCACTGTGGACATTTGATTTGGTTTAAATTTAATTACGCCACCTGCTGCATCAATAGTTACAACCTTGATCAACTTTCATTAGAAATATTTTTGAAAGTAATTACAACGAGTTGATGTGTTCTAGGACTTGGCTGAGGATGAGTCTCCTCCGAGATCTGTCAAGCAGGATGATGACGGAGAAGAACTTCACCCAAGAGGTCTTACCAGGAGTAGAACGGTTTGTCTCTTCAAATTACTTATTTATTTAAATGCTAAAATACAGAGTGAAGTAAAGTTTTATTGGAATATGAATTTAAACAGAATACACCCTTTGTAAGACCCATGTCATAGATGTTTTATTTATCTTCACCATTCTGGCAAGCACACAATATTGTATAAATAATGATTTTGTATAAAAATCAACAATACAAAAACATATGCAGAAGATCAGTTGCGACGACTGCCCTAAATATTATATTGGACAGACAGCTCGTTCTTTCAAGAAAAGGTTGATCTTCCAAAGAACACAACGTCCGCTCAAACATCAACCTTTGCCGAACACTTAGTTTCCGATAACCACAACAGCACAAATATTGACAGCAACATGACTGTACTGCATATATCTAACGACCATTTTAACAAAAATACACTTGAAGAATTTGAAATATACCGAGCTGTGAACAAACATAATATTGTAAATGACAAACTATCCTTCAATCTAATTATATTTATGACACAGCCATTAAGGTACTTGAGAGAGAGTCGGGAATGAATGGGGACAGCTGACTGATAACAAGAACAAAGGAATGACGTCACAGCGCCGACCGACCACTTTGACCGACAGTCTAGACGCTACATTCATCCGCATTACATTGGTCGTGACGTATCATCCTCACCGTTGTTACCATTTTTAGCCTTTCACTCGTTAAAAATAAATTGTACTTTTTCGTTTCCATGTTCGTGTTCGTTTTCGTGCCTGTGACCATGTTCGTGTATGAATGTATAATGTGTGTATTGACGACCTTCTGATGAAGCAATTTGACATCCCCTGGACGCCCGAAGATGACTTTGTGAGAAGTCGAAACTAGTTGCGTCATAGCAACAACATTCTTGGATTACAAGAAGCAGGTATTTACACCAATTTTTAAAAACATATGAATTTGTTTAAATACATTCTTTGATGTAATCCAAATTGTTACCAGTGCCGCAACTAGTTTTGACTGAGTGCCATCATCAGGCGAGAAAGGAAGTCATAGTAGCTTTATCAAAAGGTTGTTTATTCACATTCAGTACCTTTTAAAGGACAGACACAAATAAAGAGGAATATTAAAACTGCGGACATTAAAACGGTATATTAAATTATTAAATGACAGTAACATAGCTAACGGGGAATGATGTGACCGAAGAGATGTAGTGTCTAGACTATTGGTTAACGTGGTTTGTGCATCCAAACCAATTCATGTATTCAATGTAATCCAGAGGCTAACATTAAATAGTCCCGCCTCAGCAAAGCTGCAGACTAAGCAAATTTCTTTTGCTTGATTTGATTTTCACTTAAATCTATTAAAAAACGTCTGATTAATGAGTACCTAGGTTTGCTGCTACAGGGAGGATAAAAAAGGGAGGGTATTAAAGTATTAATAGCTTAGTATAAAATAATTAGATTTGCCAAGTTTGATCAAAATATATGCATAAACAAGCAAACTACTACGGTTTAATTATTCTCCATAAGATTAACACAAGAGTTTTGAATTTAAAATTTTTAAATTTTCTCCTTAACGAAAATTGTACAAAAACTCCTAGATACTATATATTTTTTTAGCTTTACAAAATGGTTTTGAGAGAGTATTTAAGTTCTGAGGGTCAAAATGAGAAAACAAATTTTCACCTCATAAAACTCCATTCCCATGGTCCGATCATGCTGGTTTGTGAACTCGATCGAATAAAATCTCACTATCATCAACCGGTTTGTCGAGAAACATCAGCATTCGTACATCCTGCCGACTTAATTCAATTCAAATTCTCTTTATTCATTCACAGTACAAGTTTTTATACAATGAATAGTGTCAAACAAATATAAAGATGAATTATGCCTTAAATATCGCTAAAACAATCATTATCTTTACAAAACAAATGTTTTAAAGAAAGAAGACTTAAGAAGACTTAAGAAGACTAAACAAAACAATAACCCCGCCGCAGCAAACCTGCCTACTAAGCGAATTTCCATTTGTCTGAATTGATTTTCAGTTAAATATATTTGAATAACATTAGGTTTAACGAGTACCTAGGTTTGCTGCTACAAGGAAACTAATAAAGTGTGTTTTTGAGTAAAATATTGATAGCTTAGTACAAAATAAATAAATTTGCCAAGTTTGATCATAATATATCCATAAACAAGCAAACTACAACATTTGACAGTATTCTCCATAAGAATAACATGGGAATTTTAAATATACAATTTTTTTAATTTTCTCCGTCACTAATAATCGAACAAAAATACTTTCATATACTAAATTATTTGTTTTTAAGCTCTTTAAAAAGGTCTAAAGAGAAATCGGGAAATTTTGTGTTTTGAGGGTCAAAAGTGAGGAAAACCAATTTTTACCCCATAAAACCCCCCGTAAAGCCCCGTTCCCATGGTCCGATCGTGCTGGTTCGCGAACTCATTCAAGTTTATCCCGCTTTACACCTTTAAACCAAATTTCATCAAAATCGGACAAAAATTACTCAAGTTATTGCGTTCACGGACGTATATATATATATATATATACACGGCCGCGCCCGGGAAGCCAGTCACATAAAATATACACTGGAAGTCAGTCAGTTGCACCCCCCAATATATTTCAAGACTATGATATATATATAATATATGTTGGTAAATATCTTAAGCCTAGACATATCTGAACGTATATATCTCTTTTTTTCTTAAAAATACTAAAATATAATTACGTAAAAAATGCTATGCTAATGCAGTCACCACCGCATTTGCATGGGAAAGCCAGTCACGTAAAATTTGTGCTGCTAAGCCAGTCACTATATATTTTACCGCATACCACTGGAATCCAGTCACTGAAAATCCACCCGGGTATCCCGTCACTTCAGTCACTTTCACCCCTGCCCTTCTACTTTGTGATATTTATTTGTTCTACAAGCTTGAAAATCCGCACCTCAAACAAATGGATTATGCTTCAGGCATTGAGCACTCTCATAACCCTTCTTGCGCACTTCATTTTAATTAGTTGTCTTCCAGATTACTTAACAATTACTATTCTACAGATTAAATACCTAAATGTCAATGTAATCTTTGGTCGTCTTAATAGTCGTCCTGGCAACTGTGGATACAAATATGTACCGTACTAATTCGCAAGCGTAAGGTGGGAAGTTATTGCTTTATAGTCGCACAATTAGGCCTATTGTTGAGTCCTTGGAGGCAAGCGGCCATCTTGGATGATTTCAAAAAGCTGCAAAATTGATCGTCCAAAAATATTTTTCAAACACCAAAGTGTTTATAATTTAAATAGCTAGTATACTGTGGGATTAGAAATGTTCTTTGTAGTTTTGAATTATTCTCCAAGGGAGTCCATAAAATAAGTTAACGGTCACGGTCATCTTGGAAAAAGGCCAACTAATACGAAAACAATATCCTGTGTTGCGCGGGCCGTAGCACACAAATAGTTTTCCCGCCTCAAACAATCAAAGGCGTGTGGAACAAGGCAAAATTCTTGTCTCTTTTGTGGCGAGAGGTAGGGGCGAGCCTAACGGGTTCCATTGATGGGCTACCCGGCTACCGACCGACCTGGGGTAGCGACTAGCGAGCCAGTGGATGGTTAAAGGTTCTGCCGGTTATTTCCATCTTATTGCTGGTTCTCGAGCTTTTTGAGCTCGTTGTACAGTGAAATATTACTTCCTTATTTTATATAGCCACAATCAAAGCGATTTTTACAAGAAAGAATGAAGATATAGACTCAGTGATGTGTGGTTACTTAATTAAATCATGTTCCTTGATTGTTTACCCTTTTGTAAGAGCCAATAATCAATCAACTTATATTTCTTTATTTTTCGATTTATTATCTATATCAATTCAAGAGGTAGCCCTGTACCTGGTTAACAAATATACCGATTACATTTAACGTGTTTTCTTTGAGTTACGCCCCATGGGATTCTAAAGTTTCACAATGTTTACATTTTTGAAGAATGTAGATAACAGAATGTTTAACGAAGTCAGCTTTAAATGCTGTCAATAAAGTTCTTTGATTTTGCGGTCCAAAAGGTAGAAACGATTCGATTTGTGAAACTTTTAACTTTTGCTACGGGCCTGTTAATTGGAGATTCTGACATTCTTAATTTAAGGAAGTAAACGTATTAACATGACGTGTTTGGAGTGGGATTTGAAATATGTGACGTGTATCAAACTTTTTCTCTTCAAAATCCTCTCCGATGTAAAACACAGGTACGGCAGCTAGATTTATTAGAATTCAAAAGTTTTTTAATTGTCCTCCAATGTTTAGAAATTATTTTTCGATCAAGTTGTTTAATGAATAAATAATTGTTTTGCCAAATTATGTTTCGAAAACAGGAACTAAAAATAGATCAGGAAATAGATATTTTAGTTCAGAAAACAAAGCCAATCAAATAGGCCTACGTACTTTTTAAATAAAAACACTGGTCAGATGGTTTTTAACTTTGCTGTTTATTTACTTCAATAAATTTCTAATAAAAATCACCACAGGTACTAATCTATATAAATAAAATTAGAGTTTTGTCTGTACATTGCTCAGAATCATCAACTTTTAGATTATTTCTACGTTTTAAACATTCAAGAATCCGAAAAAAGTTTCATCTCAATTCCGTTATTATCTCAATCATCAATTATTATCTCAATTCCGTTGTTGTCTATCTTCCGTCTGTCACGGTCCAAAGGCCATTTTACGCGGCTTTCTCCTGAAAACGAGAGTGCCTATCAAGATCCTCGAATCATTTTAATGTATTCACTGGATTGGCGAAAGTGTCTTTAGCTATTAAAATGCCTCGCTACTTTGTAAAAAAAACTTACGGACGTTTAAAACCCAATTTTGTGCGTTTTTTGTCAAGTTTTCTCACAATGTTTATCACATAATCATCATATGAAATAGCGAACAGCTGTTCGGATCAAGATTATTTTTCTCTAGCTGTCACTGATATGTTTACATTGAATATTGTTTACAAATACCGCAATCATTTCAGATCAAGTTTCAAAAG